GGCCGGGCGGGCGGGGTCGCCGGCGAGTCACGGGAAGTTGGGGCGGAGGAGCGAGTGCCCCGGCGTGGGGAAGGACCGCGGTGCTGCGGTGTGCGGAGTGTGTGCTGGGGCTCGACTGCTCCCAAAGACAAAAAAATTACACTGGAAGGAAAGGCGAAGGTGCTCGGTTGAATTAAGAGTAGCTGGGAACTTTGATCTTTCTTCATCCAGAGTCATAATTGCAGTATCATTTCATAATTGTTTTATAAACTCACACCGTTGTCGAAATCCAGTATGATTTAATGAAGTTTTGTCCCATGCTACTTGTCAGTGATCTGCAGCTGCCTGGTGTGCTTGGTTATGGGTACAGGCTCAACAGCTTCACCCTGGTTACACTTTAAAGTTTGAGAAAATAAGGTATTGATACTTTTTAGTGTATTCTGCTCAAAAGAAGGGTGTGGGGAATAAAGAAATGTATGTCTTTTTCTGTATTTGCACAAAAACCCCAAACAACCCAAAACAAAAACGAAACCCAGCTGCAAGTTCCAAACTTGATTCTCATGATTGTGGTCTCTTTGGATCCTTGTACTGTGTGATGTAAAGAACATTCACGGTTACACTGAAGAAATTGAAGATCAGAGAACTGTACACTGTAGGGCTATAGATATTACTTAATTATTCTGAACTGTGAATATAAAATCTAAATCCTTTTTCAGAATGTTATGCTGACTTCTTCAGAGAAGACTTTGATGTGAAAGCTTACACTTCCCAGTCCATCCATCAGGCTGTGATAGCTGAGCAACTGGCTAAACTTGCTCAAGGTATCAGTCAGTTGGATAAAGAGCTGCATTTACAAGTAAGTTTAAAGCATACCTGTTATTATTATATATGGGGTTATTGATATAAACTAGTCAAAAATTTAGTTATCTTACAAACTTGTAACTTGTGAAGTTGCCCAGTGTCCTCTGCAAACAGTTTCTAAAGGTACAACTTGCAGCTAAACTAGTAGTGAGTTTGGCAACTTAATTAAGCCCACATTCACTACTCCTATCAGGCAGCCATGTACTGTTTCAGTTTTTTACTCTTTCTTGGTAGATGGAAGACTCTTTCCAAATGATTGTGTCAACTATCAAAAACACCTGAGGCCATGTTTCAGCATGGCATTGTGAGAGGACAGAGAGAACTTGAACCCTTACATTGTGTACTGAAGAGTAACATAAACCCTAAGACTTTACTTTAAACTAGGCAGATATAACCTGTGTTAACATGCTTCTATACCTTTATAAAGGCTTTTTAGATAGAAAAAGGCTTTTTCTATGCAGGAATCATAAATCCACGGTAGACATTACAAGGAGAACACTTGATAAGTTTGTGTGTAGTTTCAAAACCTGCTTTTTCCCTCCCCTTGCCCCAGTTGATAAGGTCTTTGGGAACTAGTTTATAAATGTCATAAATAGAAAAAAATTAACATATGTTATGGTGTGATTAGTAAGTTCACATTTGCAGCTGTTATTAAATATGAAGATGTGTTGAAATGTGATTGCTCTGCTGGCTTTAATTAAGATGTCAGGTCTGATGCACATCTTAATTAGTTACTGACCCTCTTCTCACTCTGAGCTCGCTGCTTTTGTGAATTAAAACACCTTGTGTTCTTAAAATCCTTTCCTCCTGTAAGATGTACCTTTTTCCTGTATCTGGCTAATGTAGGGACGCTGATACTTAAATGCCTAATGTAGGAATGATGGTAATAAATTTAATACTTCTTTTAGGCTCATGTCCCCCTTTTTCTCTTTTGATTTCTATATTGTTTTTTTAAGGTTGTTGCAAGACATGAAGATTTGTTGGCCCAAGCTACTGGAATTGAATCCCTGGAAGGTAAATATTGTTATATTATGCTGGCTATCCTTACAGTGGAGGAAGCACAATCTGTGCAGGGAACATCATTCACTGCCAACTTTGGCCCCCAATGTTAAAGCTCCAGATCTGATTTCTGAGGAGTAATATGTGGCAGCTTTTCGATTTGCTATTTTTTGATTTTTTTTGTTCGGTTGTTTTTTTTTTTATGTCAGTAGATGGAGCTCCAAGGAGATTTGTCTGATACTTCTCTGGAGTAGCTGCTTCACAGGAAAATGTATTTTGATTATGTTCTGAGCAACTTTAGCAATAAAGCCTTTTTTGACCTTTTAATATATTTTTCTAAATACGCCTAATTTTGTTGCAGTATTGGTGGCCATCTGTTGCCATAAGCACCAATTTTCCGTTGCGTATACATGTGTTGCATAGTTTGCAGATCTTAACCAAAGAGGCTATAACACATAATCTGAGCTGTGTTAAGATATTTTTTACTAGTAAAGGGCTACTAAGTTAAATACATACTTTTGTTTTATTCTACTGTTTGAGACATGGATTTTAACATAAATTGCTGATTTTCAAAGGCCTTGCTTTGGAACCATTGACTACAGAAAATGGTTGCGGTATATTGTTCTTGTCCCAGGAGTTCAGTAAACCTGCCATTCTGCTCTTTGTCACTTTGCTGAGAATGTCACGTGGTTTGGTATTGTGTTTTTTTGTGTAGACAGATATTTACCTCTGTAACATGCTAGAATCTCTATAGCATGTTCCATTTTCCCCTTTGTTACTTGGTAAGTAATTTATCTTTGTTCCTTTTTCTGCTTTCAGGTTTTGGCATAACCAGAGTTTCTGGTTACTGATAGTTATATCCTTAGTCTTTGGAGCTGCTTGGGTATACACAGTTTTGTGTCAGTAATTGCATATAGCTGTGAAATTAAAAAAATGGCTATTTAATCTAATAATGGTAGCTCCTGAATAACTTTTTACACAGTTGGAGAACCAAGCATAAAAGACTGAAATATGTGCCCATTCTCCAAATAAGAAGTGGACAGGAATGTGTAGTCAATCTTGTGATTAATAAATACCTCCCAGTAACAATCTTCAGCATTTTGTACTCAGTGGAATTCTGTTTTCTGAAATGATATTTTTTTCTGAATTCATTCCTTCTTAAAATTGCTCTGAGGAAAGAACAATGTACTTCAAAACAACTAGTCAGTTAGGAAACATTTCTATAAGGCAGGTGTGGTAAACAATGCATATTTTACAACTAATATGGCAAAGTAAACATAAAATTCAATTCACCTCAAATTTGTTGAAATTTTCCCATTTACTTAGGGTTATGCTCTTAAAGGAAACACTGAGTCAAGATTTGTAAGAAAAAGAAAAGACAAATGCCAACAGATTTTTTAATTGTGAAGTTAGAAATGCATAACTCTTGGTATATTTATCAAGCGAGTTAGCAAGTGAAGATTATGGAGCTAATTCACAGCATAGTCATTTGGATGTGTGAAAGTGAATCTCATTAAACGTTTTCAAATTAGTACACCCAGCTTGCAGAGTCTTCTCTTTTTTAGGCCTGTGCACTTTTTTAATGGTACACAGCTCTGGTCTACATATTCTTTTCTGTCTATAGGTAGTTCAGTAGATATCTTGAGCTACCTGTTATTTTAAGATAGGCTAAATGATATCATCATGTATCTTCCAGAGCAGTTGGAGGAGGGAGAATGTCTTTTCACCCATCCTAATTCTGTCCTCTGGGAGGAGGGCTGTTGTATGCTTAATAGCAATATTACAGCCATAGATGCAGCAGTGTTGTGCCACTGGCCCTCCCCCAGTATTGCAGTGTAGGTAGACAATGCAGCCTATTTTTCCAGAATTTCACTGTATTTCATATCTTCATCCTCATGATCTATTGCATGCCATACCATGTATAAGTAACAGTGAACACATGAGCCTGTCACTAAGGTAAGTTTATAGTTTTAAAATACAGAGAAGACAAAATTTTCATGTCTATACAAAATGACTGAGATAGTCACAGTACAGAACAACCTGAATATAACTATTAGCAGTAGTTTTGTTTGTTGTCCATCTTACTCTATCATGCTGCAGTTTTATCTAATTTAATGATGACATGCTTGTAAACAGGGCTTTACAAAAATGTAGTATGTTTTAGAATGCTAACAGTAACTGGAACAAAAATAATTTCATAGGCCTGGGTTTGTCTAACTTAATTAAATTCTCAGCAGGCTGATTCTGTATTGCAAAAATGACTCCTGTCCCCTACTACTTTGTTTGCAATTTACCAAGGAAAGAACAGGCATGCTTGTTGGCTTTCCTTGTTCTGCATTGCCAAACTAATGTGGAACAAACATGATTACAGTAGTTTGCTCTGCTTGTAATCTAAATTAGATGACCTTAGAACGGTATTGATACCTTACTTTTTGCTAAAGATGCTTATGCCTGGAAAGAAAACCTTGAAATAGAATTATTTATCTTCTCAGTCCTCTTTGTCCGAGTCACTATGTTAAATAAATAGTGTTAAATAGGTTATGCCATTTTTATATTCAGGTGTTTATATCAGGTTATATAATTTGAACTGAAGATCAACATTCTCTTAGAAAGTAGCATCCTATAACTATTATTTTAAACTTCACAGATGATGGATTTTGGAGTGATATTTATTTTGTGGGTTTATGTTCTCTACCAATACATTTTCCATAATATTCAGTAAGTGACCTGCTCAGTTTATTTCCCAATATGCTTACCAATTTTGGTCTCTCTGATACTCTGATATAAAGGGGGAAATTGTTTTTGGTTTATGCTAAAGTAGTCTGCAGTAGTTACCGTGATTTGAAGAAAAACTCTTTCTATAGCTGATGAGTGTTCCATGTAAAAAATCTGCTTTATTTTGCAGGTGTACTCCAAATGATGCAAACTAGAATTGGTGCTCTACAAAGCACTGTTGATAGGTATGACATTCATTATGCAATTAGAAAGTATAAATTCTTATGTTCTGTAATGCTGTTTATTAACCCTGCTATAATTTTCTCTTCTTATTTTTAGAATTAGAGTCAAAATCATTGACCCCTACAACAAAATAGTCTCTCGCACAGCTCAGCTAGCAAAACTTCAAGTAAGTTGCATTAAAAATCTTATTTTAAAAAAATCATTTTTGAACACGTGTTATTTCACAATTGTCAGACATGAGTACAGTTTTTCTGCTCCAGTAGCCTGTAGTTCATTGTCAAGTATTTTTCTGAGAATCAGTATTTATATCTCTTCAAGGGATACTGAGAAGTGCTTAGTAGGAAAGTAGGAAATTGCAAAATAGGAAATTGACCTTTACACTAGCTAATTGTGTTTTTGTAGAGATGGAGGAAAGAGAGGGGAGGGTTATCTGAGCACAGATTAATTAAATTCTCATAAATGTTAGTGTTATTTTGGTATTTAATGTTTTAGTGCTGTTGTGTAGAAGACACTTTTCGCCCCTAAGTTAATACAGACTTTGCTGCAGTTTAATAAAGAGTTTGGGAATTAATTTTTTCAAAATTCTTTCAAATTTCTTCAAAAGTCAAAATGCAACTTAAGGAGCTATTTGTGGTTGAGGAGTTTTGTAAGGCCAGGTGCATAGTTGTCTCTGCCTTTTAAATATAAATGGAGTCTACAGAAGAATGTAGACATCTGTTACAGAATAGGGAGAGAGAGCTTATCGCAATGATGGTGAGATAAGTGTCAAACACTTCCATTGATAATTTTATGGTAGTTGAAAACTTTTCCATAGATCTTCAGGAGTCATGTGTCTGCATTCTATTAAGTTTATGGTTTGAAATGCAGCACAGCTCCAGCCCCACAAGTGTTTAATGAGTTATTGTTTGAACTATTTGTCTTTGCAAGTTTACCTGAATTTTGAGCTGTGGATATATGCTCAAGTAAATTGCCATCTGCAAGTGACTGCTGTTGTAGAGTAGATGAAGCTGCAGACTCATGCAGTTTCTAGTCTGGGGGACTGGTGGAGCAGCTGCACTATCTCTTGGCTGAACTTCTATTTTCTATGGTACTTTCACTAGCAATGAAGTTCAGCAGGGAGCTGTTAATACTCTGTGCAGCCAGTTTGGCCAGATGCTTCTCCTGTTGTTTTCAGCTCCAGCTGTTACTGTTACTGCCACTTGCCAGAAGTCCCATGACTTCCATGTGGCAGGTTAGGTGCAGATTTTTTTGTTCTCTGAAGTGTGTTGTGCATCTAGAAAATGTTGTGGGAATGGGGGGCTAAAGATGAAGATCATTTCTACCCTGCCCATACAGAAAGTTAGACTGCAGAAGGATGTCTGAGAAGAATGAGTCCCTCAACTTAGAAGGCATTTCTTGGATACTTCCTCTTAGCTGTACGTGGTTGAAAGCGGCATCTATCCAGGGTCAGCATTATTCAGGCTGTGCCAGGGGATTTGTAATACCTGACTTTTTTTTCTGTAAATCAGAAAAAAGAGGTGCAGAGTAAGTGGGAGCCTGGAAGACTGCTCTTTTAGCATCAGTGTAGAAAGGGGAATGATGATTCCAGATTCTATGCCAGTGAGAGTCAGACTCTCAGCACAAGAGCTGTGTTGTCTCTTCTCGTGTTGGCAGTACTTTGTGAGTACTTTATGTTGCACTACACTGTTGGGAGGAGTTGAAGGTCAGGACACCTGAATTAATAAATGAAGCTGAATTTACAGAGAGTTGAGTCAAATCTCAGCTCTCCAGCCTTCTAGAAAGGCTGCTGGGGTGTCCTTTACCTGGGGGATTTGTTTGTTGAGGAAGGAAGGGCACAGCACAGCAAGCAATTCACTTCCTGGTGATGGCAGGGCTTACGATGTGAAATTGCTCCCAAATGCAAGACTTGTGTTTTGGGAATTGACAAACTTAGGAATTTTATCAGAGGATCTACAATTGGTAGAAAAAGATGGTAAAAGAGGTTGCCTTCTGTCAAAATCTGTAGGGTTGGCAGGTATGTTTTGCTGGAATGCACGGTATATCAGTGCCTCTTGTACTTGTGATGGTGTTATTTTAATACCTTATTTAATACCTCTGCATTGATTGCTGTGGGACTGCTGACTAACTGAAGGAATATTTGACTTGCATAAAGCTAGGTTTTGCCATCCTTAATTGTTTTTAATATAGTCTGGCTTTTTCCTAAACATTCTCACTGCAAGTTTGTTGTTAAACTTCAAATCTAGTCCTGAATTCTAAATTTCTGCTATGTGCTTGTACATGTTTTGTCTTGCTCTGCTCTTAGAGCTTCATGGCATCCCAAGGCAGCAGCAGACTCGGAAAGCTCACTTCCTGCTTTAAATCATACTGTCCTCTTCTGACTCTTTCCATAGTCGATCACTTAAGTGGGAGCAGTTACCAGCTGAAATGTGTAGACAGGGGGTTTGTCCTTCAGAGGGTTCTTTTCTGTGCAGTTTTGTTTAACTATATGTTTTTGCATGGTCTCTCAGTTTCAGTGTCTTGGTGTATGAAAAACTTTATTATAGCAAAACATTAAAAAAAAATGTAATAATTCTGTATTTTGAAGTTATTCTGACTTTAAAATATTTACTGGTAGCAGATGTCTTCGTGATGCTACTATAAATAAATAGTAAATGTAGTCTGAAGATAGTGGACTGTCTCCTCTTTCTTCAGGCTTTATAAACAAAATATATGCATTCAGTTACCTTGCATACATGAGCTACACACTGGCACATTTTCATGCCAGTGACTCTTTATAGTTAATATAGTCTTCTTTCAGTAATTTCTTAAAATTTGAAATCAAAAGACTTTTTGATTGTAAAATTGTAGAAATAATTTCTGTTATCGTTGACATGTTGCTTTAAATTTCAGGAGACAGCTGATATGTAATCTCGAACAGAATTGGGGTTTATTTTTCATTTTACTTGAAATGACTTGGACTATCTGGGGCTGCTGACCTTTTCCAAATAAATTCTTGCTTGAACAGTAGAATTCGTTCCTTCTTGGATGAAAGCATCTCCTTTATAAAAGCATAATTGATCAACTCAGGGAGGGAATGTTTCCTGAATTAATTCAGACTTCTGTTTTGCGGGTAGTCAGGTTAGAGGGTCTGGCATCTGTGAACAGCTCCACCATTAGATACAGTTCTTTATTTCTGTTACATGTCCTTATATATAGCATTCTTTTGCTCTGACTGTGTGTTTTATTAAGTTGGACAGCTCACATAAATGAAAATACTTGAATGAAATAGAATCTTTCTCAAGGGTACAGTGCAGTAGAGATCACTACAAAATTTAGAGTGCATTTTCAGTGTCTTTGGATTTTTTTCCTCCTATTAATTCCCAGGGACAGAAATTAAAACAATTTTTTTTGCTCTTGTATCTAAACGTTACTTTTCCCATCCCTTCCTCTCTTTTAAAAGATTGTTTCTTGGGACAGGAAATAATAAGTAACAATTCAATGAAAAAGAAATTATCTTTTGGCTTGTAAAGTGAAAAATGGTTCAAAAATAACAGAAGATGAATTCCTGGGGAAAAAAATTAGAGGTACACAAATTATTATATTTTATATATATATATATAAGTAGCAATACTATGCCCTCTTATTTGGTGAAGCATAGAGCTCTATATTAAAAGCTATTTTTGATTAATCTTGCAGAAATGTAGTTCACAGATATGAAAGTGATATGTGGATCAAGATTTTTCTAATTAAAGAAATGAATTAATAAAAACTAATACATTAATCTCTCAAAACAGGATAAGCCCCACTTAGTTCTCACTAATGAACACAGAAATCATGTGGGTTAAGTTGTCACAGAACACTTTGAAAACTTGCACTTCAGACTGTGATAGAGAGCCCAAAGCAGAGTAACTGGGCTTTCCCTGATTTGCCTCAGTGGATTTTTTTCTAATTTTTTCTTTTTGTTCTGTCTAGATGTTTAATGAAATTGAATTATAAATATTTGTGGATTTGTTTGTTTGTGCTGGCATAGGGAAGAGACTGCCAGGTTGTACTGTCTGCTGTGGGTATTGGTTGAAATGATTCACTTGTACATGTTTTCATATGTGCACTTCAACATTAGTTTTCCATAAATGAACTTGAATCTGAAAAAGAGGTTCTAAGTCTTGTTGGGTACTAAATATTTTTTTAAAATTATTTTAAATTAATTTTGATATCCTTGAGGTTAATATTAATAAAGGAGACTTTGCTTTCAGTACCAGGGAAATAACTCCAAACAACTATGTCATACTTGTTCCAAATTTCTCACTTGCCACCTTTGTTAATCAGATTGCAAATGTTGGACTGTACCTATGACTGTACTGGAATCTGAGTTGCATTTCTGAATTCTATTTTAGTTGTTACCCACTCCAGAAAGTTGCTTGTTCCCATTGCATGTATTTCAATATATTAGTTGAGTGAAAAGCTATGAAACTATTATATTTGATTCAGATGTCAACAATGCCTGTTATTCTAATTCGGTGCTAACAAAAACACACATGAATATGGTTCCTAAAAATTTATGTATATGTCCATGTTCCTAATTTTTAACCAAGAATGCTATGTATTTTAATAAGCACATGAAAGAATGAACTAACAATTGTCTGAATGAAGGTAACTGGCCTTCTGAAAGTTCTGCTGAGAATTAGTTTTTCCATATATGCCTACCATAAGAGTCAATATCTGTAATAACAATTTAGTCTTTTAAGTTTTATTGTCTTCTGAAGTAAGCGCCCTTTTGCTTCTTTTGGATGAGTATTTGATTGGCAAAGCCAACTTCTTAACTTTGCTAAAGCTTAAAGAGGGAGGAGTATTAAGGAGAGATGCACAAGGTAAAGGCTCACTTCTAATTAAAAAGAGAACATGCCTCTGTCATGGGATTCTGAGTTTCCTTTGTTTTTTGTGTGGGTAGTGACAGAATCTCAGTAGCCCAATGAATGTAATTAGCAGCTTCTGAAAGTCTTGGTCTATGGGACATAGAATCATATTAAAAATTTTTGGAAAAAATGGATTTCAGTGTTCTAAAGTTCCTTGATTTTATTCACATTCACATTTCCTTTTTTGGTTAAGTTGTTTCCACATTTGAGTACTGGTGTTATGTGGTTGTAATATACTGATAATATTCCCTAATGCCACAATGTCCCTGCAGGCTGCCTGTGACTTGCTGCGGAGGATAATACGCATCTTGTATCTCAGTAAGAGACTTCAAGGACAACTGCAAGGAGGAAGCAGAGAGATAACAAAAGCTGCCCAGAGTCTCAATGAACTTGGTGAGTCCTTCTTAATTACTTTTAGATACATTTTTAGCTTGTTCTCTCATGACTCACGCTAGTGTTTGACTTAAAGAAACAGCCAAAACTTTTTACTGTGGTTCTTGCTTTCTACTTCCTGATTTAGATTGAGCAATGGCATGGACAGAACTTACTAGTCCTTTGCATTTTTTCATGTGACTTCTCTAGATACAGGTATTTAATAACGTGAAAATTCTATGATAATGACTTGTGTTCTTTTGAGCAACAATTTTTTTCTGAAGCAACTCCTTACTGGTTTATGTTTCTATAAAACACCCTCAGAGGCAGTAGATATATATATTTAGCTTTTGGGAGACATTGCACTATGGTAAGGTATAGTTTAAATTACAGTTTATGTCCTAAAATAAAGGCATTGGCCCTGTGACTTTTATTAAAGCCATAGGTGATATGATATACAGAAACTTAACCTACTTCAGATACTGGAAGTATTCTGCTGCAGTAGTGACTAATTTACCCTTTATTTTATTTGCTTCTAAGAAGAATAACGAGGTAGTTCTCATGAAGGCTCAAGTTACATTGTTAGAATGTTTTCTGTACTTTAGCTAGCTTGGGAAATTCCACACTGTGCTGCAGGATGCATTGAGGAGCATCCCATTAGTCCTGGAGATCAGTTGATGGTGTTGTATATGGTATCTTGCCAGCTATTTCTCCTCTGATTTAATGGTATTCAAATTCTAGCTTCCAGAAATAGGTTGTGGGAGGGCTGAACTATCAAACATTCGGAATCATCCTGAAGTTTATTTTGCATATTTGTCACTACTGCTCTTTTTATACTGTGTGATCAAAAAATGATTAGACAATGACTTAAAACACAGTAGATGCTGTGTTACAAACAGATAGTTTATGTATTTATTTAATATAGCAATCTGATTGAAGCATTTAAGTACCAATTGTATCATTGTAAAGTAGAATGTTTTTTCTGATTCTTTTTACTTTCCATTTTGCTCTACCATTGTGTCTTCAGAATGTATAAACTAATACTGTTTGTTAACTAGCCGGATTGCAGGTGTTGTGGGATTAATTTGAGTGCTATATCCTATTAAACAAATTAGTACAATTTAGTGGTAGAATCTGAGATGTTTAGTGTAGTTTTTAGGATTTCTTTCTTTCTACTATTCTTCCTCTTTAAATTTTTTTGTTTCACCATTTAGAAAAAAAGAGCTTGCACTTTCTTTTGTCAAAGTGCCACAGACTTTTGAATTTGTTGTTTTCAAATATTTGGTCTTTTCCTGAAGGTTAGCAAAGTCTGAGTAATTACTGTTAAAGATGAAGGGAAATGTGTCCCCTTAGGCAACCCTTTTGAATTTGATCCTACAGTCCATGGGGGTAGCCAAGGCTTGTGGTCCTTAATTTCTTAGTTCTGGATGGTTTATGGCCTGGTAAAATACCTTGTCTGCTGTCATTTCTATCTTCATCTTATTTCCTGGTATCTCTTCCTTTCTTCTCTTTTACCTCTCCATCTGCATCCCTCCTTCATTTCTGGCTATCTGTCCTTTGTCAACCTCTACTGACCACCTTGGCCGGTTTGAATTCTTCCTGCTTCCCAGCTGGCCGTGCCTCCCAGCACCTGAGTGGATGGGAGCACCTCCCTGAGCAGATGCTGGTGCAGGGGATTGGAGGTGTCTGTCCTGTGTGGAGAGGCAGTGATTGCTGGGTGTGCAGTGGCTCTGTTCTAGGGGGAGGAAAGCGCGCAGGGGCTGGAGTCAGCATGGGTCAGGGTCAGGGTACTGCTGTGGGAGGCAGTGGGAAGGCAGCAGGGTGTGGGATGGCTGGGGAAGTGCTGTGCTGTGCTTCTGGACTTGGGAAGCACTGGGATGGGTGGGAGATCTCTAGCACAGAGGTGGTGGTGGTGTGTGGCAGGAGACCACTCGGGGTGTGGTGGCTTGGGGTAAGGCTGTGGAAGTGCTGTGCTTCCAAAAGATAGGAAATGTGATGTAGTGCTCTGTGGTGTCAGGAGGGTGGGAAGCATGGGGAACAGCGCTGGGCGCTAGCAGCTCAGTTGGTGAGATAGGAAAGCTTTGGGAGGCCTGGGGAAATAACTGCAGCATCTGATGGCAGTAAATAGGTGGTAGACATGAGTGGTGTGAAAGCCTGGTATTGGATAGAGACCTCTCTGTCACAGAGGCTTGCTTTCACGTCCAAGATGAATACTGATCTGTGGTTTTAGCCAGATATTCCTGAATATCCCTTTCATCTCTCATTCAAAGAAAAAAATCATTCCATTGTTTATTACCTTTCTATTATACATGTGGTGCAAAATAAGAATTTCTGCTTTGTCAAACTCATCCCTGTGATATTACTGTGAAAGCTTTGTGCCTGCTGTGGTAGAAGATACCTTCCATTGCTTCTAAGGTGTTCTGGGTAGAATCATGAGATAACTGTCAAGTTTTTTTTCTGTACTGCTACCTCTGTGTGTATGTTTGGGGGACGCAAATGTGTGCATTTAGGTATGTATTTAACATATATTCCTGTAGCTAATCTATGTTGATTTAATCACAACTTTTACTTAGTTGTGTATTGAAGTTTATTTTGCAGTGACGGGAAAGGCTATGGTAAACATACAAAATATTTGAATTAGGCAGAAATATGGGGTCAGTTAGAGGAAGTAAAAGAAACAGTAGCTTTTACTGAGAAGTATATTTTTTCTGGATGCCTAAAGTTGCTAGTAGTCTGCAGATCTCCAGCTTCAGTTTATGATGTTAGGAATATGCTTTCTCTTAAAGCATTTGGTAATATTTTGACCGAGATCTCTAGTTAAAGCTGAAGTAGATCTGAAATTCCTCTGTGTTGGAGTTTCACATTCTTTGGAATTAACTTCACACTTTGGCACAGTAAAAAGAAAACCTAATTTCCTATGTAGTTTTAGAGATTAAAAGTGAGTTCCGTGTCTGTATGTGTATATATATATATATTTATAGAAAATTAAACCCCAGACTTCTGCAACTCTTTTACCTTCCAACATACTGTGGGTTCTCTAGCAAAGTCGAATAAGCACTTAGCTGTTTCTCTACTGCTAAGCTTTTGTATAATACAATCCAATTCAATGTTTATATAGGTAAAACAAATGTCAATATTCAGATGTCATGCAGTGCCTAGTGTTGTGAATTATATGCCCTGACTATGCTTCTTGGTAGTATTTAAATACAAATATTTTATAAAGCGAAAAAGAAACATTCCTAGGCAAGATTAAACAATAGAATATGACAAGAAAATGGTGCACTGTATGTAGTTCCCTTTCACAAAAGAAATTTTGCAGGCATTAAAATATCAGCTGTCTTCCATGTGGGTATACAGAAATTACTGTCTTTAACAATGGCTGGTAACTTACCAGATGGAGATGAAAAAATTCTGAGTTGTGCAGCGAAAGGCCAGTTTAAGTGTGGACAGGCTAATTCCATCTGTCAGTTACAGAGCTTTGGACAGCAAAGGTTTTCCCTCTTTTCCAGGTTAAATACTTATAAATGGTGTCATCAATATTCGTATAAATGCCTAGACTTCTTTTAATGGTAATAAATTCCTCATCTCTATATATGCTTGTATTATAATTTATGTCTCAGCAAGTAAATGTTTGTTTAAATGTTCTTCTGAGTATATAATATTTAAGTGGAGGTTCTTGCACCAGGTATGGTTTTGCTCTTTTGTAAACTTATTCTGTGACTAAGATGTTCAGTCATAAAATGAAGGAGAATGGGTCTATTAAAATACAGTTTCAGTTATCTTCAGTATAGATGTTATTCCAGGAAAACATAACCTTCCATGTAACTTAAGAGAAGATGGACAAAGATAGAGCTATGACCTTACTTTAAAGCTAAATACTTCTAAAGGAATAACAAAATATGGTCAGTTATTGAAGTGTAGCTGAAATGGAGAAAATGCTACGTATGTATTGTGTGCTAGTTGTGGTTTAACCCCAGCCAGCAGCCAAGCCCATGCAGCCTCTTGCTTGCTCATCTGTGAGTGGAGGTGGGGTGGGCAGAGAATTGGATGGGTAAAGTGAGAATATCCATGGGCTGATATAAAAACAGGTAAAGCAAAAGCCTGGCATGCAAGAAGAGCAAAACAAGGAATTCAGTCACCATTTCTAATGGGCAGACAGTGTTCAGCAGTACCTTGGAAAGCAGGGCTCCATTAGATGCGGACACAAACACCATCACTCCAAATCTCCTCTCTTCCTCCTTCCTCCCCCAGCTTTACATGCTGAGTATGACTGTATGGGATGGAATATCCCTTGGATCAGTTTGGCTCAGCTGACCTGTGTCCCCTCCCAACTTCTTGCTGGGTACTCCCAGCCTCCTCACTGATGGAGTGGGGTGAGAGGCAGAAAAGGACTTGACTCTAAGTCATGCTTAGCAATAATGAAAACATCTCTGTGCTGTCAACACTACTTCCAGCACAAATGCAAAACATAGCCCCTGTCAGCTGCTATGAAGAAAATTAACTCTGTCCTTGCTAAAACCAGCAAAATCATTTATAAGGAGGGAGCAAAACTTTCCTGGGACAGTTTTTTGGCTTTACCATCACAATACAAGATTTAAGACAAATTAAAAGAAATACAGCTTGTGAAGAAGTGTTTCTGGAGAAAACTGAAATTAGTTAGGTAATGCATGGTACTGGGTGAAATAACAATTTGAAAAAAAAATTTTAGCTGTGTCTGGAAGGTCTCTTTGTAGCTGGTGTAATATAGGTGTTGGTAGCCTGATCTTCTGAAGTATACCCCAGAACTAGTGGCATCTGCACAATGGTAACAGTAATCTTGGAAACAAAAAATTCTTGAGGCTAGAAATAAATTTGACTTATCACTTTTCTAGGGTAAACAGTATGGATCATACATGATTTAAAAAAGAAAAAGCTTGGATAAAGCTGATATGTCTGTTAGAGTAGAATTAGAGACAAAGGAAGGAGAAAGGAGGAAAATGCCTGTCTTAATATGGTTTGCACTGTGGGACTTTGTCTTTTCC